TTCCAGGGAGTTGCAAACATTCACGCCGAGCACAAGCCTCCAAGCATCTACCCCAGCGGTACGACCTCGTCAAAACTCCGAAATGTAAGCTCCATATCCTTGCCTAGTGTCGAATTTCGCTCTCTTTTGCCTGCATCTTGGGTCCAGGCTGATTCCATGATCGCGCTCGCACTGTCTCCGCCCGTCAGGATCGCCAGCCTCCAGGACTGTCTCGTACTCGTGTTTTTATCCTACACCCGCCGCGCTATATTCTCACCCAGTTTACACTCAAACAGGGATGGTAATATGATAAGGCTTATTGCGTCGCCACTGGGACCCCGGACAAGGGATGTCTGCACTATCCGAGGTATCGTCTACCTCCCGGCCACCAATGTTGGTAATCGACTCTCAGGGGCTGCGCACAGACCGCCTTCTGCATGTAGAGCTGCAAACCCAGGATGGAGGAAGCAAATCAAGTGAACTCTCCGTAAGAGTCACCAAAGGGCGTTTCAGTGTCGACAGACGGCGCTTCATAGAACGCGGGGATGAATTTTCAATGGATAATGCCTCGATAAAGGGAAAGTTCAATGTGCTGGCGTTCAACCAGGTGGTGAACTACGTTACTGGGTGCGGTGTCGTATGTTTTGTTTTACATATCGAGGGAAGGGATGGCCCTTGTGAACTATACTGTCTGGACAGGGAGAGTGCCGCAGGAGAAAAGGCCGGCGGCCAGGGTCGGCCCTCGCAACGTTTGACCTGCACGACCCTGTCGGGAGGTATGCCGCTGCCACCAAACGACCTGAGCATGGAAATCGTTGCAGGGCCTCGCATTTTTGTCTGGAAGGACGTGCAGACAACGTCCAAAGGAGCTCGCGTGAGTAGCTGGCTTGAGGGCAAGTGGACCGAGTACTCCTTGTACGGGGAAGAGCGACAGGGCTGCGGGAGCATTACCTTTCAGGGCATTTATCCGCCCGTAGAAGGCTCGTACTTGTTCCGGACCGAGCTTCTCTCCTCGTCTTCAACTTATTTGTGGAGCGTTATCCTGCCGGCGCCCTCGGAGTCGGCGTCCGTGCCCCCCGACAAGCCCGGCCTCCTCCTGGCCGCTCCACCCTACCCGTGGCTCCCAAAAGCCGCTCTGTCAGATTGTGCGTGCTTGTGCGAGCCTGCAGGTGACTGGCACTCGGAGGGCACCGAAGACGCAACGACTGCCTCCCTCTACATTGTGTCCACCCACGAGCTGTCTTTTCACGCGTCCTCCCACCTCCCCCCCGAGAGACCCTTGTGCCGGGCGTGTCTGGATACCAGCACCGGTCCAGCCACGCAGGTATGTGCTCTGCTCACCCGTGCGTGCGACGCGGAGGGGAGGCTGGACGAGTCCGCGATAGAGCAAGTGGTCGTCCTCATGGCGCGAGACCCCCGGATGCGGCTTCTCCTCTTTGTCCGCCGGCACAGCGGCCCGGGCGCGCAAAAGCAAGAGCTGCAGCCTCTCCGGGAATTTTGTGGTGTCGGGGGGATTTTACGGGGGGACTTCCTTGGCAGCGGGTGGGAGCAGTTGGCGCTGCTGCCTGGGAGGTCCCAAGGGGGGCCGGCCTCTGCCCCACGCAGGCCGTGGCGCATGGCGGAGGCCGCTCTGACGGATCTGGTACACGTCTGGGTCCACAAGGCGAGCTTGAAGCTTCAAGATGCACCAGACAAGCTTTTTGAAGACAAGGAGGGGCTTCGGTCCGCCGGCAAGAAGAGAGGAGTGGCAGCAGGATGCCCTGCGAACGAGGAAGGAGGCGAGTTGGTGGCGCCGATCGGGCGGGAGATGGAGCGCGATAAGCCCGCAAGAAATGGCGCAAATGCCCAGAGAAGGGGGTGTGAAGGGTCCATAGAACAGGAAGAGCGAGTTCTGTGCAAGTTTCGAGAGGCCGTGCGCGAGCGCCTTGCCAGCGAAGAGCGGAGGGAACGCCGCCTGCAGAAGACAACTGCCGGCAGCCAACTCCTGCTCAGGGAGGGTCAAGCAGTGTTGACCGACATGGCCTATAAAGACGTGCTTCCCCACGTGGTTGTGCCTCCGCACGCTGAGGAAAGTGAGGGTCTGTCCTTTGCTGCAAGCTTAGAGCCGCTGGGTGCCAGGGGGCAGGAAGAAGCAAGCAACGACTGGCGAGATTCCCGAGCATCGCCCCTGCTGCCTGTCGCCACCCACCGGATCATGCATCAGTACTTGGACGCCGACGCCCACCGCATCTCTCTGGACTTGTCGCTCCGCCTCGCGGAACCAGCTCGCGTCCGCCTCCAGCATGTCGCCCTGGCCGTCTTCTCCCGAGACGGACCCCTGACCTTCACGTCCTCCACGATCTCAGACAGCCTCACTCACGAGAAAGGAGGGGCCAATAAGGATGAACTCCGGCTTGCGGTGTCTTTTCTCGTGTCGGCGGCCTCTCTTCTCAACCCCACGTCCTGGGAGGGATCAGTCACCCTGTGTTGTGCCTGGCGAACCCTGACGTGGAGAGGCGAATCGGAAGATGAGGAGCCTCTCGCTTACCCACCTGGCGCACAAGCGTTACAGCGTTTGACTGTTTCTGCTTCCGATTTACTTGCCTCATCGTTTCGTGCCAAGCATGACAGCGATGGCGGGCAGAACCTTCTGACCTCCCTGCCCTTGCTTTGGAAACTTGACGCTCTCGTCCTCTCTCCTCTGCTCGCTCCAAAGGACTCTGTCTCCCTTTCTTCCCGACTGGCCGCAGTCCATCTTGACGCTGTTCGAAATACCTGTCACGTAGCAGCTGTGGATCTTCCTACGCTTTGCATTACTCTGCGCAGTCTTGTAGAGCAAAACCAGGAAGATCGCCTCAACATATCCTCCTGTCCTTTGAAGTTAGTGCCTGCGGATCTCAGTGGAAGGAACAGAAAGTCGTGTTTTTTGAAAGGGTTGATGCTTTTTTTGAAATTATTGCAGCAGGAATTCGACTTGATCTGTACACTTGTGGAGGGAGGACAACCCGAGGAGTCGAGTATCCGAGACGTCTGGTTGGCGCAGCCTGCCTTGGACGTAACTGTGCACGTCTTGTCCAAATTGTGCCTATTAGACTGACTGACACCATAGCAACATCGTAACAAAGGCACTTAGCATCTCTGGCTCTAGCCTGCGGCATGCTAGGCAGGCTGGGGAATACCCCGTGACGTCACGGATCCGTTTCGCATACAGCTTGCCGCGCCCACGCCGGGCCCTACGCATTCCTTTCCTTGCTTCATCTTCCCTCCTGGGCCGCATAAGTGGAGAAACGAGGCAGTCGCTGTCGTGTTATGCTTACGCACACGACTCCACAGACGTCGCGCCTTGTCCTTATGTGACCCCTGTATTCAATCAACCCTAATCAATAGACACCCATTTGTTTTTTGTCCTCACATTACGCGAAAACCGCGGGAATACTTTTTAATGCTCGCCCTCTTTTCCCTCTATCCGACTCAAGGCAACAGCCTCAAGGAGGCGCGATTGAGCAAGGCTAAAGAGGCGCCTATGCACCATGACTGCGGGGACTGAGACCCCAAAGTGCTCGGCTCAGCCTCCCGTCACGTCATGGCCAACGCGTTCCCCCATACCTGTGTCCTCCTCTTCATCAAGTGCACGATCTCAAATCTTAGAATCATCAGCGACATTCAATCAAGATGACCTGGATGTTCTGTTGCTTGACGCAAATCATCAAGGCAAAGGGAAGTTCGACAAATTCAAATTTCTCCCTAGTACTTCAGGCACACCGAGCGAGGCACATCTCCCGTTTGCAAGCTCCCAAAGCAACGGCACGGCCTCAATAACCACAGCGGGGGGCTCTGGCCTCATGGACTACCAAACAGTAGAACATGAGAGCTTTTTGATGGTGGCAGCACATCGGAAAAGTCGCCGACTCGTGTATTTATGTGGATTTGTGGCCTCCCTGACGTCCATTTTGCTCGGATACGATGTTGGCGTTATGTCTGTGGCACGTAAGTACGTGGACATGCAGTTATCTCTGACGAGCGTGCAAAGCGAGGTGATTATGGGGTCCTTGAACTTGGTTGCTGCCCTCGGGGGCCTCATCGCTGGCAAGACAGCAGACCGCTTCGGACGAAACAGGGCCATCGCCCTAGCCTGCCTCATTTTCCTCACGGGGAGCGCCTGCATGACACTGGCATGGAACTTCCGGGTCCTCCTCGTCGGGCGTATCATTACGGGCCTGGGAGTGGGCTGTGGCTTCGTAATCGCCCCCGTGTACATCGCGGAGATCACGCCCCCCGAGATCCGTGGCCTTATGGTGTCCCTCACGGACGTGTGCATCAACGTCGGCATCGTGCTCGGCTCCGTGGTGGGCTTCTTCTGCGAGCTGACCATCGCCGACGATGACGCCAAGTGGCGAGTGATGCTTGGCCTGGGGACCATCCCGCCCGTCATCATCCTCTCGTTTTTGCGGTGCCTGCCGGAGTCCCCGCGCTGGCTCCTCCTGCAGGACCGCGTCCCCGAAGCCCGCCACGTGCTCAAGAGGATCGTCGGGCACGAGCAGGAGGCGGAGCGCGAGCTCATAGCCATCGAGGAGGCGATCCAGATGGAGCGGGACGTGACGACGGACTGGTCAGAAGTTCTCTGCCCCCGCCATCGCGCCATCCTCCTCCCCGTCCTCATGGGCCTGGCGCTGGGGTTCTTCCAGCAGTCTTCCGGCTCGGAAGCGGCCGTGTATTACTCCCCACAAATTCTGGCCGAGGCGGGCATGTCGAGCACGGCTCACCAATCGCTCGGCAACATCGCCATTTGTCTTTGCAAGTTCGCGGGGGAAATCGTGGCCATGCTCTCCATGGACCGTGTGGGCCGCAAGCCCCTCTTCGTCTCCAGCGCCCTCGGCTCCGGTTTCTTCCTGGTCCTGGCGGGGGCCTCCTTCCAGTACAGCCTCCCTCCCTCCCTTCTAATGACGTCCTTGTGTCTCTTCATGGCTTTCTTCTCGGTGGGCATGGGCGCAATCACCTTCGTCGTCGCCTCGGAGATCTTCCCGTTGCCTGTCCGCGGCAAGGCCATGGCGCTCGCAGTCTTTGTCAACCGCCTCCTGAGCGGAATGGTCGCCCTTACTTTCTTGAGCCTAGTGGATGCGGTGACATACGCCAATACCTTCTACCTCTTTGCTGTCATTTCGTTCATCTCGACCATCTTCTACGCCGGCTTCCTGCCAGAGACGATGGGAAAGACACTGGAGGAGATCTCAATACTTTTTGAGAAGGAAAGTGCAGAGCACGAGGCTCACATACGGCACGAAGAGGAAGCAATGCAACGACGTCTGGCGGCGTCGGATGAACTGCGCCGGGGTCCCACCCCCATTTCTCCTCTGAGGGCTTTCCGGGGCGAGGGCGCCGCTTCTGCGTCCATAGCGGGTCAGTATCAGAGTACGGAGCACGGGAAGATAAATGAAGCACATGCTTAAGCTGGTTAGCCGTGTGCCAGGAAAGAATAACGGATGTGGCGGGGTGCCAAGTCAAGGGAACTGACACGCAATGTCGCGTCTGGCACGGAGAGTGCGCGGGGCGTTATCGCCAAAGACTTTGTGAATAGTTTAGCCAGAACATGGCAGTTCTAGACGTTTTGATGGCATGCCAATGCCGCGAAATGAGTGGTTGTGGGTTGGTCGAAATTTTTGTGATCTCTGGGGAATGTTCACGCCCGATGACGATGGGAGACATTGATGAGTTGAGCTAGAGCGGACTTGGTGTTGAGTGGAAGATTTTTTATCGAGGGATAGTCATCTTACCTGGCCGGGATTTCAAAGGAGACACGAGGGAAAATGTATATTTTTTTTATGAAAGGCGCGTGTTGTGCCTCCCCCTTCCGATTGAGATGAGAAGGGATGTAAACATGGCGGCGACGAATAAAGCACATAGAATACATAAAAAAGCCTTCACGGTCATAACATGACCTTGAGCTGTACGGTCCAGACACAAGAATCGAGTGAGGAGGCTAGGTTGCGGCCCGGGTCGCGAAGGCAACGATGGCTGTCTACGGGCATGTTCCGTCCTCCAACGAGATACCATCAAGATAGCCAAATAGATGGCCGCAGTCAAGACACAGAAGAAGGCGAATGAAGTAGATAAACAAATTTTCGGAGAGGAAATAAGCAATTCACAAGAAGGAACTTTTTAAGACGAAGACTTGCCTTGATACCACAGTTCCCTTTCCGTTCAAGTTGAGAATGTGTTGTACTAACGAGCTTCACAACCTATAGCAGTCAGAAAACCCACAAGGATGTAGCTGTCCCTGCATGACATCGTGTATGCTTATGAACCGATTTCACTGTTCGAACGTACGCCGTATCATATAAAGGAAAATGTTCGCAGAAGAACTCAATAACAACGCGAAACAAACAAAATCAACCACCAAAGGCCGTCACTTAGACGGGTCGATAGCTTGCTCCTTGACCTTCTTTATTTTCTTTCGAAGCACGCGTGATGCCTATTCGTCATGTAGTTGGCACGCTGCAGGAAATCCCTTCCGATGGGAAAGGAAAAAGAATGAGGAAGCCACAGAAGTACACGAAGGCATCGCCAACAATTGACTGGACGATCGATACAGGGTCATCTCTCAAAGATTAAATAGGTCGCATACACTACACTTCCGTCCGGAAGACAGATTGTGTTAATGCGAGAAGTTATAATCACGCCCTTCTTTTCGTGGTCCCATCTCACACATAACCCTCCGGACACCTACCTGCTGCTTCCAGTGAGTCCATTCCAAGAGCCGCGGCCGAGGCATACCTGACGTGGCTCACTTACTCAAGCCCATATCTTGGCTCTGGCCTGCCTCAATTGTATCAGTACGCGTCCGTTTCCGCTACAACACGCTCGCCCAGAGGAATCCATCCTGCTGGCACAGCACACCAGACATGCGCAGCACAGGGAGATCCCTTCTCACCCTCCTCTTCCTCTTCAGACGAATAGACCAGAAGCATCGATTTAAGGTAACCCTTGGAGAGCTTTCACTGCTGCTGCCTGCCACTCGGGCTTGGTTTTGGCCGCCTCGTAGAGGTCGTCAGTGATCTACGACGGGGCAGGGTGGGCGGAGAAAGGGGGACGGTTCAGAAAACAAGCGACCAGGGGCAAAGTTATTGACTGCGATACATCGTGGTCCAACAAGTTCTATCCGGACACGAATCGACAAGAATGAGAATGCTCGTACCGCAGAGCTCGGCCGGAAACCGCGCTTGATCATGCGCCCGAATATGTCAAGTGCGTCCTCCACCTGTGATAAGTTGGCAGCAAAGGTGAATCAAGTCACATTTGTGTACGCATGATAGATCCTTCTTATTTGTGTGCTTTACCTTGTGACTGTTCAGTAAGATCTGAATGGTCTCCTCGTAGTCTTCTGCCACCGGGGCGGGCGTCCATGGGGTGCCTGCACAAAGATGGTATGGGATCATGATGGCATGCGGGGAGCATGGAAGTTGAAAGACAGGCATTGGCGCCATAGTTCCGCTAGCTAGCTACTCGCCCTGTATTGTGCGCATGCGACATTCTTGCCGAGGATTTTGCCGACACAGGCCGCCGTGTCTTATCTTACCTGCTGCCTCCCTGCCCTCTTGCTCCTCACTCTTCGTGGCCGCCGGCACTTCATTTCCCTCCGAAGGCGCACGAATTGCAGACGTCGAAGACACAGATCTCTGTTGATAGTCAAGAGCATCGAAGTGTGAGAACGGCGTTACCCATCGGTTGATTGCGTGAAGGCTCCATCTACATCTCGATACGTACCATGGCAAGCACAGGAGACATCGCGGCTCTTTGCCATCCCAACTTAGCCCCTGCTGCCGCAAGTGCACCACCTTGCAGAAAGCGTCGCAGAGTCATCTGTATGAGGTTTGAGGAAGAAACATGTTTGGTGCCGCCTGTGAGATTTGCCTTGCAGTAGACTGAGATGACCTGACCGCACGCAGGCAGGGTCGTAAGGGGGGGGCCGTGAGCCTGGCCTCTTGCGATCGAGGAGACTTGCAGCACACATGTGCGGGAAATAAGAGGAGCAAATTATGCCTAGGCTCGTGCGGTCACAAACATTCTTGCCCAGGCCTGACAGGGGTGTTCTTGCTCGTCGTCGTGGTCAGCTTCTGCCCCTGGTGGCCATGGCCTCCGTCTCCGTGTTTCTCCTCAACCCCTCTCTTCCTGTCCTCGACTCGGAATCATGCCCTCATGCCTCTTCCCTCCTATCGACTAATTGCCCGCAAACTTACGTGCACGCACGTGGCATGTAATACACTCGGATTTTCATATCAAGTTTGCGGGCATCCGCAAGTGACTATAATTTCAAACGAATTTCACGTAAACCCACCCACCTGCACACTGTTGCGCTCATCATCTTTGTGGCACAACCCATACCACACAGGCGCTAGTAGTATAACATTTTCTCAGCGTACTTCAATAGCGCGGAGCTATCCATCCGCGGTACCTCGTAGCAAATTGCAAAGAGAGATGAAGACGCGGTTCGGGAGAAAATCGGCTTAAGCGGCAACCTGCTGGAAAGAGCTCAGGAATATGGACAAGACCGACGAAGAAAAGAAGGGGGGAAAGAAGGGCAGGGCAGCCAAACGGAGCAAATTTCTGAACTCTTACGCACTGAAGGGTGTGGAAAATAAGGGCGAAGCGTCAGAGCGTGACGGGGGTAGGCGGGAGCACTCCCTTACGGAGCCAAGCACGCCTTCAGTCCCCGGTTCCCCTTCACCGCTTACAGGCAACGCCACAGAGCGGCTCTCCACTACGACTCTCGTGACCGACCGAAAGGCGGAGAAGACACATGATGGTTGCAAGGAAGACGTTCCCTTGTCGACCACGACAAGTGCTTCTCCCTCGGAAAGCCCTGTTTCGACCTCTCTTCGATCTTCGGCGCCCGCAGAAGGTCCCACCCCTCTTTCCGGTAAGGTTTCAACAGTCGCACACGCTCAGTCTACTGCACGGACAGTTCCTGCCCCCCTCAAGACCGCAGCTACCTTGTCGAGCTTTGCGAAGAGGTTGCTGGCTCCGCGTGCTCCGCAACAGGTAGAGGTGCCGGAGACCATTCCCCTCAACGATTTTATACTGGAGGGTTTTGGACAAGAGCACGTGCATCGCCCAACCGCCGAAGATGAAAGCCTCAGCAGCAGCGACGAAGACGAGGAGGCGGTGATCAGACAGATGGAGGGGGTCCGGCGGGGGGGG